TATGCACTGTTGTTGCCATACTTTTACTATTACTACTACTACTACTTGGACCAAGGTGCCTGCCTTGTTCAATTATCCTGCCTTTTGTTACTGACACTGAAGGTCTCTTAGCCATCTGTGGAACGAAAGGAGGTGGACTGCTAAGGCCTTCCTTTAAAAAGAGTATAAGCCTGCTACAGAATCTCCTTCGATGTCATGCAGAGGGCATTCTGTCCCCAGGCGGCTTCCAGCCAATGACTGAGCACCACTGAGCTATGAGAGCTGGACCATGAAATTCCTCTGATGGGTAATCTTTGCTCTGATCTCTCACTGGCCTGGCTGAGCTGCATTGCACCTGGGCTCCTCCTGTTCAAGTCTCCATCCTTCTTCCTCTCCTTTTTCAAAAGTCAGAGCTGCAGTGGGGTCCAGAGACTTCCTTCTTACTCCTGTTCCCCTTTCCCTTTATCTGACTCAGGCATTTCCCCCAGTGAAGCTCTTGTATTTCTGATTCTGTCTTGGCCTTTGCTTCCCAAAGGATCTGAAGTGACATGCCAATCTAAGACATTTCTTATTGTTCGTCCAGGGCTTTCTTCAAATAAAACCTTATCCTTCAACCTGCCTCTGTCCAGCACACATGTCCCAATTCTCCTGTTTGGCCTCTTTTGGAGGAGAAAGTCCCCTGCCAGTGTACTAGCTAGGAAGCCATGGCCACTAGCCCATGGTAGCAGCGCCTACATCTCTCCCGCATAGTCATAGCAGGCAGACAACAACTGATGCCCCCGAAAACCTTCAAGGAGTTCTCATAGATTTGTTTTTTTTTCTTTAAATCACTATTGTGCTATGTGTTTGTTTACCTTTCTCCCCAGAAATCACAAGATCCTAGAAGACAGGCACAGTGGCCTTATACATATTTCCATAGAACCAAGCATAGTCTGAAGCAAAGACTATGTGTTTAATAAATTTTTGTTGCCATAATTCAGACCTGGCCCTAACCCAGACAGTATGGTGTATTAAAAATAACTTTATACACTGTTCATAATAGAAAAGCTATGAAATCAGCCTAGGTGGCTATTGACTGATGAATGGGTAAAGAAAATATGGTATATATACACAATGGAGTATTATTCAGCCATGAAGAAGAATGAAATTATGTGATTTGCAGGAAAATGGATAGAACTGGAGATTGTTATGTTAAGTGAAATAAGCCAGCCTGAGAAAGATAAATATCACGTTTTCTCTTATGTATGGGATCCAGACCTAAAAAAAAAAAAGACAAGAATGTAAAAGGAAGAGTGTTTGGGGGACGGCGAACCAGTGAGAGGGGAGAAAGTGACAGGTGAGGGAGGGAGGGAACACAATTGAAATTTATCACATGTATGCGTAAAAACAGGACAATGAAACCCATTAAAATTAACAAAAGGGGAGGGGGAATGAGAAAGAAATAGAAGGTGTGAATTTGATCAAAGCACCTTATATATGGGTGGGCATATTCCATGAAACCCCTCTGTACAATTAATATACACCAATAAAAAAGGTTTTGTAGTCATGTAGGTATGAACACATTACTTAATTGCTCTGGGTCTCAGTATGTGTGTGAACTTCACAAATTGCAAGGGAATAAATGACTCGTGGTGAGGACCCCCTCTATGCCATTCCTGGCACCCTCTTCCAAGTCCATGGAGCTCAGCAAGTGAAACTCCTGGCTTCCTCTGCCAGTCCCACCCTTCCATACTCTCAGATAAATTTGGGGAAAATAGAATAGATGTGCCCAGCTCACGTCTCCCTTTCTCTCCCAAGCCCAGCCTCTCTTCAGCAAATATGTGTTTTCAATTACTCTGGCCTTGTGTAGGTCTTGGTTGGGGCTTTTCAACATTGACACTATTGACATTTTAGGCCAGATAATTCTTTGTTGGTGGAAGGAGAGGGCCGTCTTGTGCACTGTAGGAGGATTAGCATCCTTGGTCTTGACCTGCATGATATCAGTCAGCAGCAGCACCCAAGTGTGACAACCAAACACATCTCCAGCCATTGTCAAACATCTCTGGGGCTGTCACCTTTGATGAGATCCAGGGGTCCAGAATAAAAGACTTCCCCAACAGAGCAGGTCGGTCCACTACCTGGTAGATATGTCTAATTCTGGGGTTTTGTTAGTATCATAGTTTGAATGGTGTGCCTCCCTTCCAAAAAAGTTGTGTCTACATCCTGGAATCTGTGTATGTGACTTTATTTGAAAAAGGGTCTTTTTAGATATTAAGGGCCTTGAGATAGTTACATTCTGGTTTATCCCAGAGAGTCTTTTTTTTTTTTCATTTTTCTTTTATTATTCATATGTGCATACAAGGCTTGGTTCATTTCTCCCCCCTGCCCCCCCCCCCTCCCAGAGAGTCTTAAACCCACTAACAAGTGTCCTTAGAAAAGGCCGGAGAGGAGATGACACAGATACCCAAGGGAGATCCTGTGGAGATGGACAGAGACAGAGACCAGAATGATGCAGCCACAAGCTAAGAACCACCTGGAGCCACAGGAAGTAGACATGGGAAGGGAGGTTCTTCCCTAGAGCCTTTGTAGGGAACGTGGCTCCTTCAACACCCTGATTTGAACTTCAGGCTTCCAAACTGTGAGAGACATCATCCACTTGGTGGTGATCTGTTACTGCAGTCCTAAGAAATTGCAAAAGTTCACAAGCCCATCTGGGGTCTTCTGCTCAGCCATGTGAGCTCTCTTGCTGACCTGTCCACTGACCTGTCTTATTTCCTGGTTTAGACCTCAGGCACAGAAGAGTGCTAATAATTAGTAGATCCCTCAAAAGCCACCCAAAAGAGGAGCGAATGAAATAAGACCACATAAATGACAGCTCTCAGCACAATGTGTGGCACTTAGTTGGTTTACATTAACTGTTACTTTCTTTCCCTCCAGAGCAGTGACAGGTACAGTGACCTTCAACTTTTTCAGAAGAGTGTGATGAGGTTCATCTTTCTGACCTTTCAATCAGACTGCAAGCCCTTGGCCACAGAGGGTGGCCAGTCAGATCTCAACCCCCATTCCTTTAAAGTCACCAGGAAGTGGCCAGGCAGATGTCACGAAACCCTTCCCATGATTCACACACAGAGGCTGGACATAACCATCCCCACTGCAGGCGTGGTGTCCAGGAAGGGGCTAAATTCGCTCCAGCTCCTGACCCATTACCTGAAATCTATTTCAGCCATAGCACTGTGCAGAGAGAACAGACAACTAAAGATTCTTTGTGCTAATGTCAACATGATATGCAAGACATAAAATACCAATTTGCCTCAATCACTATTCTGTATGCACAAAGAGGAAAAATCCTGGGACTTCAGCCGAGGACAGTGAGCATCCCCGCTCCCACTCTTTGCTGTTAGGACTCACTGTTATCTGTGTTGTCTTACTTACATGATTAGTAGCTCCGACTCATATCGCATTAATTTATTCTTCTCCAGCACCAGCTTAAACCATTCCTGCAAAAGCTGTGCTTCATCTTGTGTCCCTGAATCTGCTTAAGAAATCAATGGCAAATGGGTTAGATTGGCATTTCTCTCCCCATGATCAAACTGCTTTGAAGCCACTTTATCGGGCCATGTTTGTGGCAAGAAGAGCTCAGCAGGCAGCAGCTCCTGGCACCCTGTGGATGCCTCAAGGTCATGGGCATGACAAATGAAACCACCTGTGCATGCCTTAGAGGGAGGTCCTCCTGGGCACATAGGACATGATTCCTTCAGCTCCATATGCCTGTGATAACGACCCACCACAAAGGACCTTCCTCCTGCCTACTTGTCTGTCCTCCAGAAAACTTAAGGTATATACATCCTCCACCAAAGAAGTCTTAACTGCTGGTTACTATCTTCTTTTTCTCCCCAAATCAAATGCCTATGGAGAGCCCAGGTGGTGTGTGGTCCCTTTATGGGTCAGGGAAGCTCATACCACATTTGATTAGAGGATGGTGACTGGCATTTTGGATTTTTTTTTGCCCAAAGAAAAGCCACATAATGAAAAAAAATGAAATTAGGTTTGAGTCTCATGGGGAGAAAGTTACATCCACATATTCTTACAGCTTAGATCATGACCTTTATAAAACAGAAGAATAATCATGTTAATACTGCATTTTAGATACTTGGTGTTAGATACTAAGTGTTTTTACATACTAAAATGTAAAGATCTGGGCACAGCTGAGAAGCAGCTACATAGTGGCAACTTTTTAACACTGAACCTGAGATGCAAACACCCATTGTATGGGAAAGCCCATGACTGTTCTAGAAGGATTTGCACTGGAGGGTTCTCTGGGCAGAGGGGAAAACAATGCAGACAGGAGATTTGTGGGACCTTTGGAAACTTGTGTAACTCAAGCCTTTGCTTCTTCATTGGTTAAACTGGAATAATAAGATCTATGCATAATATAATAATAACGAGTTACTATTTATCATGCTGCAATCATGAGGTGACAGGTTATGTACCTTGTATACACGTCTCATTTAACTTTCACAATAAACTCACCGGTACATTCTCTTACTACCACCCAAATAGCTAAAGAAACGGAGGCTGAAAAGAGTAAAGGAACTTGCCCAAGTTCACATTTAGGAGGTGGTAGAGCTAGGACTTGGATTTAAGTGTGCCTATCCTAAACCTGTACTCTTCACAGCTATGTAGTTCTCTTCTTCCCTCCAAGTAGCCATGTAAAGTAAATCATGCCTGCAGCACATTGCCTTGTCCACAGCAAGTAACCCAGAAAAGTCAGCTCCCTTTTCTTCCTGTCTCCTTGACCATCTTTTTGCTGATAAGGAAAGTGGGGCCCAATGAGATTTTTTTTTATGCAAGGCCTTTTGTGAGCAAACCTGTGCTAGAATACAGGCCCTGCCTTCTGGTCTTTCATTCATTCATTCATTCATCATTCAATAACACCTATTTATCAAGTACCTTTGTGTTTTGGATATTATCTTAGGGATTGGGATACAGCAATATATTATAATATATTATATATCATAAGAAATTTGAAGACAGTAAGGCATAGCACCTACCTAAAAAATATTGTCAGATAATCTTTTGAATCAGATGGACTCAAAGAGCTAGAATAGAATAAAGCACTAGAAAACGGTCACAACACAGCAACAAAAACATTCCAGAAATACAGAGGAGGAAGGGAGACCCTCTCACACCTTCATCCTGCAGAAGTCTTTTTAGCAGCCCTGGTCACGGGCTCTTATTAACTCACAAATGAACTCCAGTCTTCCTACAATAGTGATGGTGCAGTGGTAATTATGTTTTATTTGTGCAACTGATCTTTTTCTTAACCTAATTCAAGACTTCATATGCGTCTTCTTTATAACCATCCTGGTTATTTTGTCTCATTATGAGAAAATCTTTTGACTATTTTATCCAACAGACACATTTCTCTAGTCTGGAATTTCTGTAGAATTAAAAACGAGCATCCTGTACCTTTATGTGACATTGGAAAACAAAATGTCAGATGGCATTGAACCAAGAGCAGAGACATCTGGCCCATAATTGGAGACCTTTCTCAGACTTAGTTGAGCTGACTCTAAATGTACCCAGTGGGAATCTCCTACCACATATGGTTATATCTTGTCCATGAGGCTGTTAAAGGAAACTTTGATAACAAAATAATTTCCTAAAATCAAGTCCCACAACATCTGCCATGTTCACTGGCACTACAAACCTTGAAACTTCACCCAAAAAAAGGAAATGACTTTCACTTTTCACTGCTCCATAGTAAACACCAGTGGTTCCTAGTAATCTATAAATTTCTTCTAGAGGCTATTTCTTCAATACTGTGTTCTAGAATTTTGACAAAGATCAGAGTTCATGTTTCCTTGCCAAATGAAATGTGGAAAATGTATTATGCTCTAGTCTTTTAGTTTTGGAATGCTCCTTAAGTTTCCCAACACTAAGATCATATCTGTACATTATTACAGCAGCAGGGGCTTAATTGGTTTGATGGAGCAATGATGTGTTGAAGACACTTTTCTATATACCATCTTTCACCTGAACTTAGGAACCTGAATTACAGCTCTCCTATTTTATCATCTATCCAGATTCAATTTCTCTTCTAGATATTTGTTTAATGTTTCTAGATTAGGGATTATTTTCTGTATAGAGAAAAAAGAAAAGCTGAGTGCTGAAAATTCTGCCTGTCCTTACCATCTAAGATTATACCATTTGACACAGCCCTGGACCTAACCTTTCCTTGTTCCCAATCCAAAAGAAAAAGCTGTAAAGCACTATTTTGCTGTCTTTTGAGTGGTTTTGGTGGTTGTTTTTCAAAGTCAGCCTCTTTGCTGCATGACACCCACTGGACTAGCCAGGCTTTTATCCTGGTGGTATGTCCATCTCATGTGTCCCTCTAAAATCTGGCCCATTAGAGTTCCCTGTGCTGCCACACTGCCTTCCACTGACATGTACTGAGCAAATACAAGTTGAACTGAATCACTTATTTTAATTTTCTTTTATCAGTGGAATAATTTGCAAGTTTATTGGCCGCAGCTCATTTTTTAGAGCCTTCCTTTCATCAGCAGTCAGTCACTCTGGAGGATCGCTGGACATGATTCCTTGTGCAGATTCCTAGGGAATCTGCCTTTCCAAAGCATCTGGTGCAGGGGTCCTCTTTTTCTTTTTTCTCTTCTTTTTTTTTTTTTTTGCATGGTACTGGGGTTTGAACTCAAGGCCTGCATCTTGAGCCACTCCACCAGCCCTATTTTTGTGATGTTTTTTTTCAAGATGGGGCTCATGAACTATTTCTGGGCTGGCTTTGAACTGCGATCTTCCTGATCTCTGCCTCCTGAGTAGCTAGGATTACAGGTGTGAGCCACTGGCTCCTGGCTGTCTGTCTTAATTCAGTAATACACTAAGACATTCCTCCAAGATTTCCAACAATTCACTGTCACCCTTCACATTCTGTCTTTGTGGGTCCTGATGAAGTCTAGAGAGCACTGCCCTGACCATAGGTGCAGTAGAGTGAAGTGGACACAGACTTTCGGATCAATGAGGCCAGGTCCTGCCACTTACAAATGTGCAACATTGGCCAAGTAACCTCATGTCTCTGCCTCAGCCTCCCCCTGTAGGATATGGGGGTGTGGTCAGTACTGTCTCGCATTATTGGTTGGGGGTACTATGTAAGATAATTTGTGTAAAATGCTTAGTGGAGTGCTTGGCACTGCTTCCAGGGTTGCTGGACTGAGAACTCTTTTGGGACATGGCTGTGACTCCTCCATCTGCAATCAGGTTGCAGTTAGAATTGTGTGACCAGAGGCAAGTGGCCTCAGCCCGGGAATACACAGCTAGTTGTTCAACTCCTCCTCTCCCTGTGCTCGGTCCTCTGTCAATCAGCAATTCATTTGCTCTGTGCCTCTTCCTAGACTAAATGTAAGTATCCCATTTGCTATGGTGAAATAATTAAAACTCAACACAAAACAACTTTTTATTAATAGAGTCATTCATATTGACCTACTCTTGTCCAACAGAGCTCTCCAAATTCAAAGTAAATTATATCACTCCTTGCTCAAATTCTTCAATGACTGCCCAATCAGGTTCAAATCACCAAGCCTGGTACATCTCAGTCCCTGCTTACCTCAGGAGACTGGCATATAAGTTAGTAGTTTTTTATTCTGAACAAACAGCGTCAGAACAAATGAACAATCTGCTCTTTAAAGTCACTTTTTTAAAAAAGCATTTTCCTTTGTAGGTATTGCAGAATACTTCTCTGATTGTTTTTGTTGAGTGGTTTTCCAAGTTGAGTCTTGTTTTGCTGTCTGGTTCATAACGAATTCTTTACATGTGATTATCCTTTCTTAGAATCTGTGAGAAGTCCTCGTTTGGTGTTTGCTGCAATTTTGTTAATGCACTTGACATTCTCACTAATGATCTGAGGTATTAAGGGGACATTTAATGAGCATTAGTGGCCAGATCCCCAGGAGCACTGTGTGTGGCATCTCCCCCAGACTTGCTGGAGTACAGCCTCTGCCTTTTGTTTTCTGCTGGTCAGCTCTCAGCTCCAGTGCTTATCCACTGGCTTGCTTCATTTAAGTTTCTTCAGTACCCAGAGCTCGGGGTGCATCGGCCTCCCACAGGTTCCTTACATATGACAGTAATAACCCAGGAAGCCTTGCTATGGATCTGGCCTGATTTAATCTTGACAATCCCAGGAAGCTGGTAGCTAGCTCATGGTTCCTTTCGGGGCTGCCACTAAAAGACAATTCTAGCCCTTTAAAAAAAGGTTTTTTGATGGTACTGGGGTTTAAACTCAGAACTTTGAGCTTACCAGGCAGAGATTTTACTGCTGGAGCCACACCTCCAGCTTTTTATGCTCTGGTTATTTCCGAGATAGGGTCATGCTTCTTGTCAGGCTGGCTTGGACCTCAATCCTATTTGTGCTTCCCACTATAGCTGTGATGATAGGTACATGCACCACCAGTCCCACCCAGCCTTTTCTGTTGAAACAGGATCTCACGACATGTCATGGTACCCCCACCTCCAGTCTGGGAC